TTTCTTTTCTCTTTCTTTTTTAGTCTTTCTTTTCTGTACTTTCTACCTTTTCTTTTCATTCTATTATATTTTTAGTTAGTATTAGGTTTTTTTCTAATCTTTAACTGTAAACATTAATAAAAATTATTATATATAAAAAAGAAACCCCTGGAAGAGGATTTCCATCTGTTTGGGGTGAAGTGTCATCAATACACTGATGATACTCAAGTATACATCATCAGACTGGGAATTCTGTAAGGGTCCTGACCGCTGGTTGGAGGCTGCAAGAGGCTGGATGAGTCAAAACAAGTGAATATTAATCCCTGCAAGACAGAAATGCTGTTTTTTAGGTGACTGAACTAGATGAAGTCCAATCCCTAAGTTGGATCTGGAATAGTTGTATTCCCTTTGAAAGAGCAGGCCCTCAACTTATGAGTCTCTGTGGACTGGGGGCTATTGCTCAGGAAGCAGGTGGAAGGTGTTGTCATAAGGGCCTTCACCAATCTTTGGTTGGTGCTCCAACTGTGGGCCTTTTTAGACCAGAATATTCCTGCAGCAATGACTGAGAGCTCATCATCTCATTCTTAGTCCGCTGCAACATACTTTCCATGGGGCTGCTCTTGAAGATGACAGTGGGTCCAAACTGAAATAGCTTGACTGCTGACAAGAGATAGGATCAGCATTGGCACACCATGTTGAGATCACTGCATTGGTTACCAAAGGACTTTTAGGTCCCATTCAAGATGCTGGTTTAACCTTACATGCTTTGATACCCATGGACTGCAGAATCATCTCTCTGGACCAGAAGTAGTAGTCCCTATGCATTCTTCCCAAGACCTCTCTTAGAAAGACCCCTCTTGATCTAATTTAGGTCTCCACCCCACCCCAGATTAAGGGGGTGGGGGCCAGAGGCACATCTTCTCTAAGGCCAGCGGTCACACTTTGGAACATCTTCCCCTTGAGAAAAAAAAGGGGATGAAGCCCTTAACTTGTTTGTATTTTGCAAAGCAATGAAAATCTTCTTTGGATTGAATTGTGGGCTAGATGGTAAACCTGGATCACATTGGAGTTGGAGTTTATTTGGTATGCAAACTGCCGTGAGTTTTGAGAGGTTAGGCCAGTGTAGACATGGTATAATAAATAAAAGGCATAATCAATGTTTATTAAGGCCACATAAATCTATGGATTTGTGCAAGGCTCACAAACATTCTTAGAAATAAATAAAGGGCAACAGGCTGGCATTTGGCTTTAAAGCATGCCAGTTTTCTTTCTTTGGAAAAGAAATAGAACACAATTTTTTAAAAATTGCAAGGTATCTAAATAGTCCCCAAGGGAGATGTCCATAGATACCCAGCTGTTTGTGGCACTACAGTGAGAACCCAAGCAGTACATTAAAACATGGTTTACAACTCACAGATGTTACATTCACCTGAGAGATCACCCTTCAGTCTAGCAGCATTTGAATTCAGCCTAGAGACCATATTTATCCAAATAGACTAAATTTTCAAAATTAAACCAGCTTTCCAAGAGGTGCCCTCCATCCCAATAAATGTGTCTGGGTGTTTGACAGGCTTGTACATGAGTTTGAATATATCTGTGTGCATAAATAAACCTGTCAGAAGCCAGATTCCAAAAAAAACAGGCAGGGCCAGAACAAAAAAATAAATTTATTTTAATTGGACTAATAACTACTAATTAAAATTAATTGCCTGTAAAATAAGGTACTCAATTTATAAAACTAATTGATTTCCCCCTTGGTGTGTTCCAACCATTCTCTTTCTCACACGTGGAAACTCTCTTTTCTCCTTCCAGCAAAAGCAGACAAAAGAAGGGGGGCGGCAGCAGGAAAGGGAAAATGGGAAACTAAGCTAGATGAGGATGAGGCAAAGAAGTGGGGAGGCTACACCCTAAAGGAAAGAAAAGAGAAATAAATCCTCTACTTTTCTTTAGGGACGTGCATCGAAGAGGTCCAAAATGACAGCCACATCTGTGGTTACATGGCTCCAAAGTCTTTTTAGGAGCCCCCCCCCCAAAGTCTTTAAACTTTAATAAATTTAAAGTTTAAATTCATTAGACAACCAGCCCTTCCCAAGCACAGACTACTCATCAAAAAATAGCCATCAATCCTCATTAATAATTGTTTGCAGTCGTTTCAACAGCATCTTCTTGGCCCCATCACTAGCTCACACTTCCAAGTGTGAGCTTCCAAATGTGATTTGACTTCCTTCTAGTTCAATACAATGCTACTTCCATCCCATGGGTCACTCTTCCTTTTCCAGAAAAAGGAGCAACCACCTCAATTGCTTTACCACGTTTTGTCCCCTGGCCCTTTGGTTCCCATCCACTTAGGCTGCTATTCTATCCCCATTCTGTCTTTGACGACATAACTACCTCTTGGGCCTTCTTTCATTGCTTGACCTTATTTGTCCATGATGATGACTTTATAGGTTTGACTCATTTGATTCTCAGCTGCAGCTCAGGCCCTAAGCCATCCTCTGGGATGAGCTATGGAGACAGAAATAACTTTCTACCAGTTATCGTGCCCTAGACAACTCAAAATACCTAGCAGAGATTTCTGGGGGCGTTCACATTGAATGTGTTCAGTTCCTCTAAACCTGGACTAGAGCAGGCTTCCTTTACCTCATTCTTAGCCAACAAGTCAAGAACGTACCCCAAACAGAGCCACACATTGCGTATCACGCTTCAATTTGGAAGGCTCTGTCCTGAATCTAATGTCTTGTCTTGCAGTTGTGCAAAAATTGTTATCATCAAATCGCAGCCCACTCAGACAAGCATTATAGGGCTCATGGTTGTAGGTGTGCTCCAATTTTACATACCATCCATCCTGGGGGACAGGTGCATTCTCCAGTGATGTGGTGACAGGTTCCTCCATTTTGGCATGGACATCGTTGTTCGCATTGGGCTCCGTGACTGCCTGGAGGACAAGGCTCTTCACAACTATTCAGGTTTGTTGCAAGGAAAGGAGAAGGGCAGCAACCCAAGAGAGAGACACACACAAAAAATGTGTAAGTTACAGCACCCTTGCTCCAGGGTTTACACAAATGATCCATCATCCAGTGAATTCCCAATCGACAGTGTTAATGGTAAAATGTAGGTAGCCAATATTTACTGTTCAGAAGAAGACAGCTTTTCTTTCAGAATCCTTTGTTTATTCACAAAGAAAATCACCTCTCTGGCTCATGGAAGGACTATTTTTTGAAGATTCCCCTGTTTTGTGAGATGGGCAGTAACAGGCTGACGTCTCCCAAATCAACAGACCCCCTTCTCAACATGACTGTTCTGGCCTGGCTCCTAGCTCTGAGGCTTTCAAAGTATTGAGACTCCTGATATAAAATGAAAGGTATATGAAATAATAGCCCATTACAGGCTACCAAAAGTAGGTGATGTAACAAGAAAGGTACAAATGGTTGGGATGTGTGTAGGGGTTAAAACAAATTCCACCAAATCATAATGGGCCAGACTTGCATATTTTGCACCCAGGAGATCTATAGAAGGACAAATGCTGGCCAGGGTAAATCTCAAAGAGTGTGTGTTTAAGTCTCCCCTCCAACCTAAAAAACCCACAACATGGTGTGATCACATGACCATTCCAAAAAGCACTAGAAAAGCACCTCAAAGAGCTTGGCACATTCCTTATAATCAAATTCATCTTTCTAAACATTTAAAAAACAGAAAAGAGATCCCTCAGTTACTTTGTAAAATACAGGAGGTAACTGCAACCCCTATCTGCCCCTGAGTCTAAGCTGGTGGATTTCCACATTTTTTAATCATGAAAAACAAATGGGCCAGAAATTTGAAATCTGTCCCTAAGAGCAGACCATAAACAGAGGGGATTTACTGCGGTCTGCTAACCCCTAGAGAAAACTACACATCCTAGCCAAGGCTGGGAAAGTAAATAAAACTTGGAGAAGTCAGAGGCTAGGATCAATTCATACAACCCAGCAGACATATTGAAAATCTAGATTGATGGACTCATGCAGAGGTTGATGCATACACCGAAGCAGCTGTTCTATGAATTTCTAATCTCTCCTATATCCATAATGTTCACAATAAGCAACAACATTTATAAATATTTACGAGAAAATGAAATCAATAACCGCTGTCTCAGAGAAGCAAGCAGTTTTGAACTGACAACAAGAAATATTTTCTACTGCAAGATCAATTCACAGAGAATGATTGGTCTATTAAGGCGTATTAGCATCGGTGTCTGTTAGAAGCCACGATGACATCAGAATGCTGTCATGACATGGGTGATGTCACTTCTCCCCCTCTCCCCATGAACACTCACGGATATGAGCCGTGAGAACTCAAATCGGCTCTCAGTTTGCAATGGGCGAGGCTGACCACGTCGTAGGTCAATTTCCAGGCAACTGGTGGCAATGTGGCATAGAGGGGTACCGAAGCCTCCACCACTCCCCCAGGTCAGTAGAAACCCAGAATTAAATTTTAAAACCTCAGATAGCTGAATCTTGCAAGATCACTGAAACTTGAGAGTATTCTTGTGAGCTTTGGGGCGAGAGCAAGGAAATCTTGCTGGCTCTTGTGAATGAGGTGGTTGAAGTCTTTCAGGATGGGTTGCTCTCTCAAGATTTCAACCCATTTTAATGTTTTTAAAGAAAGGGTTTTGGCTTCATTGAAGCCCAGGATGCTTGTGGAGCCTTAAGCAGAAGATGAGTGTACTGACCCTTTTACTCCAGAAGATAGGTGATGGGAAGTGGTAAACTACAAGCAACCAGGACATTAACAGAAAGCAACTCACCCACCCCCAACTCTAAGTAATTACTTTTTTGCGGGGGGGTGCCTTTGAGTCAGCATGGACTCCTGGTGACTACCTGGACAAGTCCCTGCAGTTTTCTTGGCAACATTTTTGGAAGTGCTTTGTCATCGTCTTCGTCCTAGGGCTGAGAGAGAGGGACCAGCCCAAGGCCATCCAGCCAGCTTCGTGCCTAAGACAGGACTAGAACTCATGGTCTCCTGGTTTCTAGCTTGATGCCTTAACCACTACACCAAACTGCCTACTACGTCCCCTGAAAGTAAAGTCTGTAGCCACTTGACTTACAAAACTCCAGTGTACCCAGGTGCACAATGACATTCTCCTGTATTGTGGTCACAGGTTGCCCCATTGTGACACTGACACTTGAGCAGGCAGCCTTTCCCATAACTTCCTGGCTCACACAAGTCCTCACAGCGCCATCCTTTGTATCCTGGTGCGCACACACAGGCGCCAGTGATGGGGTTACAAAGAGCTCCATTCCGGCACTGGCAAGGGTTGCTGCAATGAGGGCCCCAGTGGTCCTGATCACAACCTGGAAAACAACACAACACAAAACAAAAGAGGTGGGTCCTTTTAGCAGAACTGTCAACCATAACAGCAGCATTTCATTGAGTCACTTGGACGTGAGGAGGCAAATAGCACACGTTTTGCCTACAAGCTCTTTCTCAAGAACATTGAGGAGATCTGCAGAGATCAGAGGGATTTGACTGAAACTAGCGCTCAGGAAGAATTGATTTCATGATTCAAACGGCACCTTATTCATTAGCCAGGAAGATTCTATAGTCCATTTCTAATAAAAATGTGTTCTTGTGGTTAGATGAATAGGTATTCTTGGAGAGAATGCGGAGTTCAGTTTTAGACAGTTCTTATAACATACATCCATTCTTCAGTCAGAACTTTTTCAGATTAATTTTCAACCCAAATTGGAATGAGGATTGTAGTACTAAGTAAACAGATATACGCTCATGAACTCTTGAGGAATTCCATTAAAATATGATGCAGTCTTTTTTATGGCCTGCTACCATCCTTCGATTTCAGACAACAGAAGCTATAATTCACAACCCTCCTCAAAACTTCAAGACTGCAGGGATGTGTTTTGTTAATGTTTTGTTTCATTTTGCCTTCTTCTCCCCTGACCTTTGCATTAATATCTAGATTCCTGTTCCATCACCTCACATTCTTTGACCCTTCTGGCTTTACACTTCTACAGACAGGCCAATTACTAAGTCTGTTCCATTATAGGAGGAAAACCATGTTAGCTTATATTAGCCAAAAATCAGAAAGAGTCTGGTACCATCTTGTCCTACTACCAACTTTTATTAAAAGACAGACTTTTTCTGATTTTAGGTTTGTTTAGTCAACACTCATCGCCACATTAACAAGAGCAGGATGATTAGAAATTACATTCACAATGGGCTATTTCTAGAAAACATTTTGACCAATGTTTTAAAATACATTTAGGATTTTGAAAATCTAATGCTTGAAATTACAAATCAGTTGGTTTTCTTTGCCCCAGCACAGATGTATCAAAGATGTTGGTTTTCTTTGCCCTGGAATAGATGAATTGCTACAATATCTCTTAACAAGCAGATAGAAAGTCCCACATATCCAAAAAATCAAAACCAAAAAACAACCCCCCGCCACTCCCAAGCCAAAAAAATAAGAAGTGCACAGAGACTGCAGCTTTCAATGAGTTGGAAGCAGCTGTTGTGTCTGGACCATGGAGGTGGGATATGGAATAGATGTTCATTTAGTCTCCTCCTTTTCTATGAATACTATGAATACTAGTTATATTTAGATGCTACCCATAATCCCTATCATTCTGGAAGGGCCATCACTACAAACTGAACCTCTCTATTTGAGAACTTAATCTCACATAACTTTTTTCTGGATGACCACAGGGTATGAACCACCAAATACTCATCTGTAATACAGAAGAATAAGGCATGGCATAATTGCAACAAAGCTCTGGCCAACCAGTTAACAGAAGGTTCTTCAAGGACCTTCATGTCCTTAAGAGTTAGCTAAGCATCCTATCTGACAGGAGATCAATTACAAAATCATATCAGGTCTCAACATCTGGTCTTCTCAACACCAAGAAAAGTTGGACAAGAAGGCTTTTGAGGGTGTTGTCAGAACCTCCAGCAATCAATCTATCAGCTCACTGGTTGCTTGCTTCGCTTCTGCCATTTTTCACCAAGGGGGAGGGAGATACAAGGAAAGCGAAACCATTAACACAGATGGACTGTTATCTACGGCCAGGAATGTCCAAGGTCCTACCAACATGAGAACCAAGAACTGGCTGAGGAGAAGGGGGGTTAAGAAGTGTGGGTAAAAGTAGGTTGGAAATGTGTAGGCTTTTAGTTTCAGCAATGCTTTGAAGCTGCATGTACATCTCAATAAATGAATTTCTTT